CTGTCCTTATCTCCCCTCCTCCCCAAGTCCCCTGTGTCCCCCGTGATCCCCCTGCCCACCTGACTCGGTGAGTACGGTGACGGAGACGTAGAGTGAATGTCCCACCAGCTCTTTGGGGTTGGCAAACCGCTCCCGCAACGTGGCCATGGACAGCACGGCTTCCCCGTCCCCGTCGGTCACCTGTGGCATGGATTTAGTGGGACAGGGGACAACCATGGGATGGGAATGGTGGTGACAGGGCTCAGGAAGGGACAGAGCTCAACAGGGGACAAAGGATGGGGACGGGGCAAGGACAGGCTCACCTGCACGCGCCGCAGGGACTGGGGGATGCTCCTCTTCTCGTCATCCACCATAACGCCGAAGAGGACAAAGGCTGTCCCCTGCAGGCGCTTCCCATACAGGTACCTGGGTTCAAGCCACCATTGCCACTGTCAACCCATCCCTGTGTCCCCATCACATCCACATCATTGTCACCCCACGTCCCCCCATCCCCTTGTCATGCAACCCTGTCACCCAATTGTCCCACGTCCTCATCGTCACCCCATCACCATCCCCACCATCCCCATCACCCTGCATCCGTGCCGCCCACCTCATCCCGGAGGACTTCGCACAGGAGCATCACCCCATACCACCCCCCATGTGGGTTTCACCCCCCCAAAATGAGCAGTTTTGGGGTCCCCATCCCACCTGGCCGTGATGGACACCCGGAAATCCTCCTCCCGGTCGATGTAGAGGAACTTCTCCTCTGGCTCCAGGACCACCTCAAAGCTTGGCAGCACTGGGAGGTGGGGGACACCCAGTGGACCAGGGCATCCAGACAGACACAAGGGACCCAGGTGTCTGGGGACCCCCACCCCACCTTACCATACTCCTTGACTTCGAATTGGGTGCTGAAGACCTGGTCTGGTGAGTCTTCAAATTTGGCCATTATCGTCCATGTCCCCAGGCTGGAAAAGGCAGGGGACACGGTGAGGGGACAAGCCCATGGCCATGGATGTCCCCAGACCACCCTGGCAGTTGGCAGCTACCTGACGACCTCGGGCAGGTTGTGGTTGAGGGAGAAGATCCCGGTCTTCGTTGGTGAGGACAAGGGCACTTGGTTGATGATGACATCATCAGGTGTCTGAAGGGACATGGAGTGGTTAGGGATGGTGGCACGGGTGGCTGTGTCCCCATGTCCCTGTGTCCCCAGCAGGCACCCACCTTGACCTCCACGATCACCGTCTTGGGCGCTGGCTCCATGAGGTGGCCCAGAGCGAAGAGCCGGCAGAGCACTGGGAGGGGACATGGGGGACAAGGTGAGCAGGGATGGTGCGGGGACATCCAGAAATGGGTGCTGGACCCCAAAATGGGTGCTGGGTCCCAGTAGAGATGCCAGGGGATGTCCCCAAATGGGTGCTGAGTTCCAATGGAGATGCCAGGGGATGTCCCCAAATGGGTGATAGACACCAGATGGGGAGGTCCCCAAGTGGATGCTGGACCCTGGCACCCCAAGGTCACACCAGCACCTCAAGGTGCTGTGGAGGGGACCCAACACCCCAAGGTGCCACCAGCACCCCAAGATGCCATGGTGAGACCCAGCACCCCAAGGACACACCAATGGAGCCAGGGGTGTAGATGGGCTTGTCAGTCTGCAGGAAGATGTGGCCGCTCTGGAGTGACACCAGCAGCACCTTCTCCAGGGTCACCTGGGCCACCCGCGCCGTCACCAAGACAAACTGCTTCCCTGCTGTCTGCGGCAGCATCCTGGCCGACACCTGCGGTGACAGAGGACACCAGGTGGCACCTGCACCACAAGGACAGGGGACACCAGATGGCACCCATGTCCAGGGAATGGGGCTGAGGGTGGCGGGTGACAGTCCCCAAGGACTCCAGGGTGACCATCCTCTAATCGTGGGGTCACCATCTCCAAGGACCCCAGGGTGATAGTCCCCAAAGATCCAGAGGTGGCCGTCCCCAAGGGTCACCATCCTCTAATCATGGGGTCACCATCTCTGAGGAACCTGGGGTGACTGTCCCCAAAGATCCAGAGGTGACCATGACTGTTCCCATGGACTCGGGGGGTCACCATCCTCTAATTGTGGGGTGACCATCTTCAAGGACCCAAGGGTGACTGTCCCCAAGGACCTGGGGTTATTGTCCCCAAGAACCTCAGATCAACCATCCCCAAAGACCCTATGGCGACCTCCATGTCCCACCAGCCCCCTGGAGATTTTCCACCACCTCGTACAGGGGTTGAGCCCTATAGGCCACCTCCCCTAGGGCAGGAGGGGGCAGTGACCAGCAGGGAGGTGACACAGGGGGTGGTGACACACCTTGATGGTGCCAGTGGCCAGCATGCCCTCAGCGGGGTTCAGCGGCACACGGATCTGGTAGAGCACGTGGCGCTTGAAGGGGAAGTCCTGCACCAGGACGGTGGCCTCGGTGGCGGTGTTCAACCCCGGTGCCTCCAGCACCACCTGCTCCTCTGTCTCCAGCTGCAGCACCGCTGGGGTCACCATCGTCACCCTGGGGACATTGGCAATCACAGGGGAGGGCTGTCAAAGGATCCCCCAGAGCACCCTGGGGACATCACAGCACCCAAACCCCCCCAATTTGTCCCCACAGCACCCTAGGGACCTCCTGGGACAGCACCCTGGGGACATCACAGTGCCCCAGGGACCCCCTGATCTGCCCCATGGACCTGTAGCAACCCCAAATCCCCTGTTGCACCCCCATATCCCCCCATC